CAGAAATCATCCAAGTTAAACTGGGAAAGATTAAAGTTATTTTAGATTTTAGAAATAATGTTATTAAGAATACCATATGTAATTGAAATGTATAGAAACTGCCTGCTTCAGGCTAGATTGATGTGCAGCTACTGTTAAAAGAGGTGTGTACATGGTTTGCACTGGATAGTGTGGGTTCATGTCCTCCTCCTAAGGAGATGAGGGAGGGGGGCACTTCTAAAGACAAAGTGAATAAAGTTGTGGCAACCTTAGAAGTAAAGAACAAAGTTAAATAAAAAAATTTGCAATGTTAAATGAACTAAGAGAACCTCCCTTCCCCTTCCCCTCCCCCCCTTCACCCCACATAGACAAAACAACACTAGTATCTGTGGAAAAGTTTCTTACATTGTTTGCCACATAATTTGGAAACTCAACAAATGGACATTCCTTAACATTCATTCATTACAATGAATGTCAATATTCATTGTAAAGTATTTTTTTGTTGACGTTAAATTATTCAAGTTTCACAAAGAATGGCAAAAGACTAAGCAAACAGTAAATTGAGAAAGGAATGACATTCGAGCTGACTTTGCATGACATTCATGCAAAATAAAATAACAATCTGTAAGACAGATTTTGAGCTATTTTTGATCTCATTTTCTTAGTTTGCAAAAAATCTGTCTTACAGATTTTTATTTTACTTCGCATGAATGTCAAATCAGAGCCAATTTCTTAGTTTTGAAGTTTTGAGGTGGGGTCATTCGGTTAGATTTTGAGAAAAACGTGATTTAATCTACTAGTACCCAGTCTCTCTTTAGGTACTCGGTCGTTCATTTTGGCCATTTGTTGACGTTAAATTGTTCAATTTTCACAAAGAATGGCAAAAGACTTAAGCAAACAGTAAATAGAGAAAGGAAAAACATCTTGGAACATTTTTGAAAAGAGTTAGAAGTTGGGTTGTTACAGTCCATCACAACTGTAGTAAGCTATGGTTAGCCAAATGTTGCAAAATTCAACAACTTGCGCCTTCATGTTCAACAACATATATTTATTAAAGATGGTGAATTTAAAGCTCGGTAATGAAATGTGAAGGTGAATTAATTAACATGACACGAGCGTGGACAAAGAAAAATTCGGGGGCTCAGAATTTTTCTTTGTCCCACGCTCGTGTCATGTTGATTAATTCACCTTCACATTTCATT